TTTCCCTAAAATGAGGCAAGATGTGCAAAAATTTCACTATTCACAAGAAATCATCATCAGATAACTTAACTGATAGCAAGGGAGTTTTCTTGTCTTTTTAACTGATTTCCACCTTGCTGTGAGCAGACGACCTTGAGGCAGATACCACAACTGTGTGGTGCGCGCTCCTCCCTAGACTTTGTCATCAAACCAAGAGCGTGGCCATTACGTGCATCCATTTAAAAAATAAGTGTGTTGCTGCTGGGGACTGCACACTGTTGTAAGGTCCAGCCATTGTTGTTTGAAAATTTATATTGCATGTTTTTACTTAACAGGTTGGGATAGTGGCGATGGTAGTTCCAAAGCAAAAATAAGTGCAAGCCAAGAAATGCATTCAGAATCTAGTTCTTCATCGAATGAAAGAAGTCCTCCCTTCTCAAGGTAAAGTTGTTAAATCCTTTAACATCTGAAATGCTTCTGTAGAATGAGAAATGCTGACAGAAAATGACTGAGGCTCAGATTTTTTTTTTTTTTTGCTTGGTCTAGGGTTAAGGTTTGTATGTATCTTTTTCTAAGAGAAGATCTTAAACTTTGGTACACCTTAGAAAATATTTGTGCCAAAGCCAAGTATTGTTTTGCAGCTGTTGTTGTCTCATTTTAAGACTCAATTGACATCTCAGTGAACCACAAATTAGCGTGTACAGCTGCTCTCAGTAGGGCTGCTCAGGGGCCAGACAATGGGAGTTGTCAGGAGAGAGGCAGACATAAAACATAAAGTCTTCAAGAAATAAAGTGGTGGGTTTCTTCTCCATGTATCCAAGATGTAAACTAGCTGTAACTGGATAACGCTTTTCATGGTCTCAGGGTTTGGGGGGGTTATATTTGATACTGGGGTATTTATAACATGCCTTTCTTCCTTTCAAACTGAGTATGCTTAACAGCCTTACGTGTACCTAAAGGATGCAGTTTGTTCTTTTAGTTGTTGCTCTTGTTATAAAAGAAAAAATTAAAATGTTGGTTTGTGGGTTTGGTTTGTGGGTTTTTTTTAAACCGCAGCAGTTCCCCTCGGGTCCCTGAGCAGGTCTGTTGGATGTCCCCTGCACTCTTCATTGGCATGTTACGCTAATCGAACAGCAGCAATCAAATTAGTGGTGAAGAAGCAGCAGAAAATAGGATAGAACACAGCCATCTCATGAAATATTGGCTGGGCTTTAGATCCTTATCTGCTCTTATTAGAACAGCCCAGCAAGTGGGTGCTGCTGCTACACCGCTCCTGCTCTGAAAACCGCCATCAATAGCACTCAGGAAGAGACTTTAAAGCATTTTGATAAATTTTTAACTCCTCCTGTTTATATGACATCACTATCTTTCTGTAACTTTTTCATGCTGTTATTGATTAGGTCAGTTTTGATAACAGACACAATTCCAATTTTGAGTGTTGTTCTGCATTTTGTATTAAAATCACAGTATTTCTGTGATTTTTAAGTACAATAAATAAAGACAAGCCATAATGCAATATTGATGAATGACACTCGTGCTTTTCTTTAGGATTAATTCTTACAGTCTTATGCTCAAACTTTTTTTTTTAATTTTTAAATTTTCTGGAACTGAGAATGATGTTCCCAATAGTACTGCCTAATGCTATGAAAGACAAGGGTGCTCTTACATAGGAATTTTTAAATCTTAAATTTTAGTTGTTCACTGAAACCCACGACAGCAGGAAGGGAAGGATCGGGCCCTGATGAGCTTGCTTACAGGATCACTGCTATGAGTCTGAATAAAATATGTATAGTTTAAAATGAACTATTTTTTATTTTAAAAAAGTCTCCAAGTTTATTTCCGCTTGGATGTTGCACCGCTTCCTAATAATGTGTTTGGTGACTTCTGCATTTTTCAGATGCTGTTCATATGGTGTACGGGTTTTTGCCGATTATTTTTTTTTCTAATTCTTACTTGCGATAGATTTTTAAATCTACTAAAAATCTAGATTTTTATTTTGTTTATTTTAGATTTAAATAGATTTTTAAATCTATTGCGATAGATTTTTTAAATCTTCGCTCTGCCCTGTAATTCCATGCCTTTCAGCACAGAAGTAAGCGCACTTCACGCGCTGATACATGATGCTGCTTTTAGAATAAAAAGTCTCTTACAATGGCTTAAAGTTAGCTTTTCTAAATGAGTCAAAAATAACGCAGCTTTCTATCCACAAAGCTTATTAACAGCCCTTGCTTTTGGATACTTGGCGTCCACTCTGCAAAGACGGAGAGCGGCAGAAGCAGAGAGGAAGAGGGAGAAACAGAAGGGCGGCCGGGCGCTTGTTTGCGGCCAGGATGCAGTGCAGTTTCTTCGCCGCTCGCATTTAAGCGCTCCACTTACCGCAGTCACTTCTCGGGCTTTATTGCTTTTACAAGTGGTCTCGAAACCCACTACTTGAGAATAAACATAACCATGTAGCACCGCTGTGGTACTTTTTATAAATTCTTCTTTGCTCCGTTTTGTCACGGAGCTGATGAGTGACCTCGCAAAAGACCCTGCTGGACCTAAATAAAAAAAAGGCTTCCTCTGATGTCCTCCAGACAATAATTATGATGTGCCAGTTAAGCCCAAACTACAGCTGAGGGATTTTACTTTAAAGCAGAGGCTCGGGCGCAAAAATGCATTTATAGCTCTTTGTCTGGCACCTCATTATGTGTGGGCCTGATTCATTAAGTAATTGGTTTGCAGTTGTTTACATGAGTATTAAGGCTTTCTATTCAGCAGCCTTTGAGAGATACATTGTGCAAATGTTGCATGTTATGAATGCCGAATGAGGGGCAGGGGACCGGTCCTATTGGCTAAACACTGCGCTCTGTTGAAAAGCCAGAGAAAGAGATTGGGTGCTGCTTTGCATAGCAATGACTTTCTTAATAAGCTTTACAGATTAATACACACAAGCTATAAAAGATGCAAAGAGATACTCTTAGCACATTTATACATGCTCATTTCACTATTATGGTACTGGAGACGGGAAGAATTGAGGGCTTTCATATTCGGTTTTTCAGTACGCGTCTTCAGTGCATGAGACTTAATAGAATCCGATGTTTATTGTATTATAAATCATGGGGAAGTAGGCAGATCTGCAACAGTTTATTATTAAAGATTCTTTCAATGTAAATCTTTTTCTGCCATTGTATTTCCTACAGCAAAATCATTTTGTGGTTGAGTGGGGATGAAAGGCATAATGTACGAAGGAGTGAGTCTTAATAGGAAGCTGCTCTCCGAGTAAAGACCACTTGTTCCCTTTTGTTCGGAGGTGCATGCCAGAGCTTCCTCTCCTCCTGCAAATAGCATCCCACTCTACCTTTATCTATAAAGCTACTTTTTCCCGGCTTCCTTGACTTTACTGAGGGAGTAGTTGCAGGCAGAGAGGTGCAACCTGCGTCTGAAGAGTTAGTGTTTTGCAGCGGGAAGGAGCATGTTAAATTACACAATTACTTGGAGGGAAAGGTATCAGAAGTCAGGACTGTATCTCTGGCGACGTGTGTGGCATTTCGTGGTCCTGTAGCGATGGATGCAGCCAGTGGAGGTCACTAGCTTTCTGGGCAATTCTGAATTTTGGATGCAAGCAGTTTTATTTTTCTTTGACTTGTTTGCGCTGTCTCATTTCCTAATAATCTGGAGATTAAAGATGCATTATTGACTGAGAACCAGATAACAATTTTAATTTGCCAGCACATAAACACGGTGTAAAGTATTTTCAACTTCGATTAATCTGTCCTCCGGAAGTAATCCGGGCTGGCCTCTGAAGGCTGGTTTTTTTGTTTTAGTGGTTTGTTGGGGTTTTTTAAGTCGAAAGCTGCCTTTACCAAACACAGATGTAATGATATGCAAATAAAAGTTGGCAGACTATAATTCATCCTCTTAATTATCCTCGGGGGTGATGTTTAACACCGAGCCCGCTGCTCAGGCTGGCCATCGGGGGGCACTCCGGCTCTGCGCATCCCCCTGCAGCCCCCCCTTCGAAACCAGGCCCGACTTCGCGTAGCTGATGCGGGGGGAACCACCGGGTTCTGGCCGGGACACTGAGGAGAGGTGCCAAAGGTTTGGGGTGTTCAGGAGATGCACTTCCTAGGAAAGTGAGAGAAATGCTGGCGGACCAGTGTGTTTCCAGACTCCTGAGGCGCTCCCACACGAGAGCACAAACGTGGTGGTTTTAGAGTTCTGCCGTACTTTCTGTTACCAAACTGCTTCTGTCAGAAGCCGACTGTAAATTCAAGCACGTTTTTCTGTTACAAGTATTTCTGCGTCTCCTAAATCTTAACACCTAGCTGCTGCAGAAATAGTAGCGTTGCAGCAGTGATGCTCTACGTGTATCGGCGGGGAATGCTTTGTGGGCAGAGGCGACAGCATCCATCTAAACATGTTGCCTTTGTAGTACAGAGCAAATGGAGTTTATTTTTGCAGCGATGTCCTGTGCTCTTCCGACACGGTTTCACCGCAGCGCTGTGATGCAGTCTTTGTGTTAGCGGTTGCTCTAGGCAATAATAATTTTTTTTTTCAGCGTGGCATACCTAAACAGCGACCGGTCTTACATGTAGCTCTATACAGATCTTTGTGTCCTAAAATAAAGGTCATCCTATTTGCAGTGTAATTACTGAAATTCAATATTATCACTGCAGTTCTGGTGTAATGAATGGATTTGTTAGTTTATGCCAGCTTTCCAGGGCAGGGAATACTTCTGCGGTGCCCAATTTCTAGGAAACGATCAGCAGAAAATGACAGAGCCGTCGGGCTTCAGCCGGAGCTGGCAGAAAGCGTATGATCACGGGGGATGCCCAGCGGAGCCTGCCACACCGGGGGCGCTGCCGCTAAGCAGCCAGGCTCGTTCGCTGCCAAGAGGCTTTTAGGTGTTTTCAAAAAATGATGTTTAAAGCTGGATCTCCAGCTCCTGCATCCTGAGGTACTGCTGGGGAGAAGCTTCATCGCTTCCCTCACAAGGGTTAATAAGCGCTACCCTGCGAAAAAGCAAGGCTCGGTTTGTTTTCCGTGGTGTGCCGCCTCAGCAACGCGCGTGCAGGACGGAGGCGCGCGGGCTTCCAGCCTCTGACAAGCCGAGCCGAAGCATCAGTGCTCCTGAGGCCGCTGTGCCCTGTGTCCTGTTCGCATTTCTGATAGAACTTGGCACTTGGGTGGTGTTTTTTTCCTCTGGGTGCTTGGGTGGTTTGTGTAGGTGTGAGGTTTTTTCCCCTTGATATTTGGGGAAAAGTTTTCTTTGTGCCTCTTTTTTTTTTCCCCTTGGTTTTTTTTTTTTTGGCAAGTGTGTGTCCCTTTTTTTTTTTTTTACCCCCTCCCTTGGTGCTTGACACTGAAAGACAGAGGTTCAACAGGTGGTTTAGCAAAAGGCAAACATTTTCTGCTGTTTTTCAGTGAGCTACCTCTGTTAACTTGGTTCTTGTTGGTCTGCTATTTTGCTCTTAATATTAATTTTCTTTATGGAGAAAAAAATATTTTCCTAGAGCTTTTTCATTTCTTCTTCTTGCAGCATCTTCAATACAAAAAGCCTGTTTCATCAGAGTAAAGGAGAGATTAAAAGGCTCTTTGAAGTTAAACTGGTTTGGGTTTTTTTTCTTTGTTACAGCCTAGGTTCAGTTTGGAATTATTTTAGGGAAGAAGCAAATGCATAAATGGGTATCGAAGGGTCACCACGGGGGATTAGTCGATGCAATGGAACTGGCTTTACTTCATTTATACTCCTAAAATTTCTCTGCAGAGGTCTGTGTGGTTATTGTGTGCTCAGTGTACCAGATGATAACTTTCATCATCAAATCTGCTGATTTCTGAATACGAATGTTTTGCAATGTAGAGACCGTCTTGCATCTTATCAGCCTCGACTAACACTTCAGACGTAAGTCGGGAATTTTATTCCCTGTTACAAAGCTATCTTGCAGCATTTTCCAGGCTTGGCTTGGCGGAGCTGTGATTTCCAATCTGGCCTTTCTGAAGTCCCAGCTCCGTTTTCCCCTGTCCCCCCAGGCGTCTCTCTGTGTGCCAACCGCTTTCATGCCTAGCCTCTGCCGACACCCTCTTCCCCACCTCTCTCTTTGTTGACTGCTGGGTCACACTAAGGCCCAGCTCCCGGGGTGCAGCGCTACGGCTCTCTGCTGTTCTCGGAGCGAATCCCATTCTACGGGTGGTGGAGTAGCCCCAGGAGAATGAACCCCAACACATGGATGGTTTTGGGTAGAAAACAAACATCTGTCTGTCCCCTTCTCCTGTCCACACTGACCTTTTTCTGCTTGAGAACCAGGGGTAGAAGGAGGAAGGATTCCACACCTTCCTGCAGCCATGGTGGTCTTTGTCCAGCACAACTTCTCTGTGGGAATGCTGGCCTTCAGCCGGACCTGGAGCACCTCATGGTGCTTTCAGTTGTGCAAGAGGACCGAGCCACCCGAGACCTGGGCAGTCCAGCACCCCGCTGGTGGCTGTGCGTGGTGGTCCTTGGCATGGCAGAGGCTCTGGGCCCCAGTGACCGACCCTCTTGCATTTTGATCGGGGCTTCATCTGCGGAGAGAAGCAGAGCAAAGCATCACTTCTGGGGACCTCGTAGTGTGGCTGAATAAGGAAACCCCATACGCCTCCCCTCCTGGCAGCGGGGACGCAGCAGCAGGCAGTGGAGGCGGTAGCTGCCAGCTGCCTGATCTTGTTTTACTGAACTACTTGAAGATAAAATGGCTTTTGTGCAGTCTGCCACAGAAGTCGCCTCTCAATCTGTAGCTCGGCAACAAGTGGTTTCTCGCTCGACACCTGGGGGAAGAACGATGCAGCCGCTGGAGTTGCATCCTCTTGAGCGTGTTTTTACGGGCTAAGCCTGGGATATGTGGAGCACCTCCTGCGAAATGCTGAGGGTCACGAAATCGCACCAAAGCGAGCAAGAGTTAAGGGCGTTCGGCGTAGTGCAGGACTCAACCCAGAGGCTCCGAATTAAAATACTTGGAAACGCTGCTGAGTAACTGGATTTGAACTAGAAGTTGAAGCGTAATGCAGCGTAGGGTTTGACTCTGAATAAAATGGAAAAGTGTTTGGATGGCATGCTAACAAAATGTCAGATAAACATTTGAAGGCTAACATTCTAAAGTTTTTTACTTAAAGAAATAATAGGTTAATAATTAGTTATGTCACTTAATACTCAACTAGTACTGTTACTTGTTACTAGTACTTAAGCCTCAGTTGTATCTTGGTTGAACGTTAGCAATGTTCAGTATTTCATTTCTGGAATTTTTTGTGTATCTGTAAAGAGGGATGATTTGTGCTAACAGCATTCACAGCATGACTTAGTATGAGCTTTCCCTTATTTACAAGGCAAAGTTATGTAACATAGGTAGCTGTAGTGCAATGAAACTTCCCCCTGCTTTAAGCTTAGCTTTCCAGCTGCAATCACAAATTCTTACAGAGTGCAGTGCTACAAGACAAGCAATGAATCATCTCTGGTGGGGTTTTTTTTTTCTTTTTTGGTATCTCCTTCACAAATGCTTCCATAATAGTAGTTAGAATATTTTTAACTCCCCACTTTAAGCAATTATGTATCAGCTGCCATGTCTTTACATGAAATGCAGCAGCATATTGTATGAAATTTTTGACAGCTGATTGAGTTCTGTTTTGACTGCGGCAACAGCTTCAAATTGCAGCTTGACATTTGCTTGCATTTCACTAGTTTGCACAGCAACGTCACAAATATTTCCGATTTGATCTTCCTTGTTAAAATCAGCTGAAGCTTTATTTTTAGAGCTTATTGCAGGGTTGTTAATATACCAGTTAATTCTCCTACATCATTGGCCCATGTGATTATTTCACAGCACCAACACAATACACACGCTACACACAAAAGATCAAAATGATTCCAGCTTGTTTGAGAGATTCAAAAGGGCCTGTGATGCTCTAGACACAAGAGCAGTCATTTAACAGAACAGAGATGCAACTGCATATACATCAAGGTAGATCAAAGGCAGCTGGAGATCGCACATTTACATAGGGATGTGGACGATGCTATGGGAACCCAGCAGCCAGGCTGGAGGAGTACGCTGGCAGGAAGGGGAAAAAGGAAGTTCAGTGAGCATCAGTGGGGGGTGCTTTTATTTTTGTTTGGGTTTTTTCTTTACTTGCTTTGCATTATCTCAAAGGCTGCAAAAGACAGACAGAGCTCTGCTCCTTTGTACCCTTAATTCACTACTGGTGTAAATCGGAGCCATTACCAAGGAATAACTCCAGTTCACGCTGCCTGAACATCTGGACTGGTGCCCCTGCTGCATGTTAATTTCTCCACCTTTTAAAGACATAAAGGTGAAGAAATCCTTGATAAAATAGTTATTTTTTTAAAAGGTAGTTATAAAAGTTACTCATGTTTTTTTAAACCATCTCACAGATTTTTTTTCTTTTAAAGTCGACTTACATTCTTTTAATTTTGTGACATTGTGCTGATTATTTGAAATCTTTCTCTTTTACAGGACTGAAACCAGGAAGGGAATGGTAACTGCTATAAAATCCAAAGGTAAGAAGCAAATGTTACACTACTTACAATCGATGTCTTTCTAAGTGTTATTTACGTTGTAGAATACCTCCAAGAACAACATCATGGAACTGTATAAAACACGAGCATGAGGTGGGAAAGCATGGAATTTCTCTGTCTCAGCACAGGAGCCAGCAAATAGCTGATGATGACAAATTCTGGACCAGAGAGGACGTGTTTTGTAGTGCAGGTGCTGTGAAAGGAGTAGTGATCTTTGCTTCAGGGTTTAAATCAAACAGTAGCAAATAGCAGGTAGGAGAACACCTAGAGAAGGAAAAACCTGATTTCGTGATCTTCCTTTTGAAATATGGGTTGCAGGAGTGAGTGGGCAGCAGCACAGGTGTTTGCAGGCACAGCAAGGTGCCTGCACACCCACCCGGGTGCATCCGGAACCATTTTTTTCCGTGAGCAAGCAGGCTTGCTTTTAAATTGCCGTTTGGGCCCCACATATTCTCATTCTTCCCTGAATTTTGTTTTTCTCTTTTAACCACCATAAGGGCCACTGGTGTCAGAAGTCGCCTCTCGCGGAGCCTCCCGTAAGCAGAGTCGGTGCTGGGAGCAGGGAGCTCTTTGCCTGGAGCTCAGCATTAGGCTATGAATGGTACAGAACATGTTTCAGAGGCGTGGCATCTGAGCTGATTTAAGGGTGCTGTAAACAATGGCTGCTGTGGTGCCACTTGAAAGGTGCGCTCACATTCCCAGCCCGTTTCCTTCTATGCTGGGAAGTTTCATTTTTTGGAGCCATCCAGCGTGTTCAGCCTCTTCCCAGGGGTTCAGCGTGGGAGAGAGCACAGGGTGCAGCCGTCGCTGCTGCAATGCTCCCAGCCAAGCGCAGACCTGCAGTCCAGGGGGTCAGGGATATAGGATGAAAGATGCAGCTGCTGCGTTTGTAGATAAGATGTTTATATAGCTTGTGCCATCAAAAGCACTGAAGATGTTAACAGTGCCTCAGTCGAACATGAGCTGAAATTTCTGTCTGAGGGATGACAGCCTGAATCCCCATTTCTGAGTCTTAGGTCTTGTTTGGGACATCGTGGCCATTGCACCGGCTCTGGACAAACAGCAGCCCTCTGAAAATGGTTACGAACAGGCAGACAGCACTGCTCCAACAATGACCGTGGGTTTGACTTACGCTTCCCCATCTGCCATGCTTTTCACTCTTTTTTTGGCAGGTCAGACAAATTTAAGTATTGAGTAATCTCTCAGGCACCCCGAATTTAAATGGCATTCTGTTTATTTCAGTGAAATTGTTTGCTAATTCCCAGAGCTGTTTGTTAAAGCCATGCAGTTCTTTGAAGTCAATCTTGCCTGTATTTGATCCTATCTCAAAGTGCTGATTTTTCATTTGTGACATCATTGCCATTTTTATGCCAACTCTGTGATGTCATGGTCCAACTGTGACTTCACCGCAGGGTCAAGTAGAGGGAGAAAGTGGAACATAATAGACAAAGCTATAATTCAGATAGCAGCTGGTCAAGTAAATTGCTTGGAGTGGACACGTTCTCCCAAGCTACCTTGAGGAACAATGAAGTGGGACCTCTGAATGAGCCCACTGTTTGGCCACAGCAGCTCCGTTACCAGAGACCACGACGGGCTGACAGCATGCCATGTCAGAAAGGCACACCTAGCTTTTGCAGTCTTCAAAACCCTGACCTTCTCCGTAAGCCATGCTGTCTAGCTGCCTCCGGAGCACTGTAAAGTGATGGTGTCTGTGACATGAATTACATAAACATGGAAAAGATTTGATAATTATTTTTCTTTTCTCCTCACCCTTAGCTTTCTGGGGCGAATCTGACGACAGCAGCTCCGAGATTGAGGCTGCTTTGCGCCCACAAACTCACAGCACAGAAGCAGACGAATTCGATGACTTCTATGATTAAGATTCCCCCACTTGCTTTTGGGAAGAAATAAACAATATCATCTTGTACATGCTGAGGGCACTGCTTTCTGAAGTGCAGCTCATCACTTCATAGCCAAAGAAAATTTAAATAGAAAATAAATATTACTCAGTACTATACACAGCCTCCTTGTACGTGTGCTTTCTCTTAACTGCTGAGTGTTTCCCTTATCTGACCACAATCCGCCCCATGAGACTGAGCCTTTTTGCGGTATATTTGTCTTGGGGAATAAATGAAGATGTGTCCCGAGATCTCCACTTGCCCTGAGCTGCTTGCACAGCACTTGTCTCCGAGCATTATCACCTCAGAGGGTGGGGGCTGTCTGTAAAACAACCTCCTCCTCAGGGAGGGAGCTGGGTGCCTCCGCACAGCATCCTGTTTCCCTGTTACTGGGGCTGGGAGCTGGCTGGCCGCAGCCCCCTGCTCACAGCGAGCATCTCCTGCTGGGTGCCAGCAGGAAAGGAGCAGGACGTGAGCGGGTGACAGGTAACCAGCCCCTCCTGGGCAGCAGCGATGAAGAGGCCGTCGCAGGCGAGGAGTGCATCAGTAGCATTCTGGAGCTGGCAGCAGTGTTCGGTGACCACATCGGCCTCGCCTCCGTTTCGCTGGAAGCTGCTCAGTAGTGTCACTTCCTCCGACCAGCCTGGCCACTGCTTTTGTTGCACTGTGAATGCAAAGACCGGCCTCTTCTGATGCTTGTATGTGTGCTAGTGTTTTGACTGCAGAGCTAGATGTGGTTTTGAAAAAAGAAAGCGAGCATTCTGGGTATGCATACATATGCTACTCAGGGTGGGCTGGCATGTTTGATCTTTATCTTCTGCAACAGATCAAGAAGAAGAAATGCATAAAATGTACATTTCTAATTCAGCACATTTTGGAATAGAGCTGCATTTACATGTGGCAAGCCGCAGTGATTTTCTGCTTTCACTTGCTTTGTAAAATCCATGCTGGTGTTGCTGTTACGGACATCACAGTAATTGGATGACTCTAGGAGCTTCATGCATTTTTAATTTTCTTCTTTTAATTCCTTTTATCTAAAATTAAGTTCATTAAACATGAGATTTTCTTTCGAAGGGAGAAACCAGGGGACATATTAAAAAAAAAAATCTGTTCATAATTACAATAAGTTCAAAAGCAAAAAACAGCACCCCAATTAAACTCTGCTGCAAAGCAGTACTGCGTCTTTGAATACAGGCACCAATCTTTGGGCCCAGTCCATCAAAACCAATTTTAAAATGGTAACAATATTCAATTTAATAAAAAGAGTATGTACTGTGAGACAAGCTTGAGAATATGAAATAAAGGCTCACAGAAGCCTTGAAAATGAGGAGAAACAGTGCAGATGGCTGCTGGCTTGCTTCATCTCGTGGTTTTCAGTCTGACGTTGGCAATGGTGCAGTGCCGAGTGTTCCAACAACTGGAAAACCAGCTGCATGAAGGACGGAGCTGGGTGAGTGTATGACTGGGGCTGATGTCATGTGAGACAGCTGGACTTGACTACAGGACTAAAGCTGGACTTTACTGAAGGCTTTCATGTTCTCCCCCACTGTGCTGGAGTTCCTGTGCCCATGTGACCACAGGCTATTTGGGATTAAGGCTCCTGTGATCCCTCCTTTCAGAGGCTGTATCAGCTACCCAGCAAAGAACCCTCCGTCCTTCCTAGTTTTTACCACACTGGCTCCCCACATCCTGTTTGGGACCTTGTGCTGTGTGATGAGCAAGTCGGTCAAGGGATGGGAGGTGCACAGAGTGGAGAAGGCAGCCCATGGGGACCACCAGGAGGTCTCTTGATTCCCAAAGCAGCAATTCTCATGTGGCAGGCGCTGGCGGGGGCTGTGCCAGGCTGCTGGAGAGGGTGGCACAGCTCCCAACTCTTCATTGCGATGGCCGACCTCTGTCAACACCTGGATATCAAAGTCTCAGCAAGGTGGGGGGAATCGCAGGACTGTCCTGCAAATTGTGACACTTGAAAACAAATTCTGCAGTTTGATGGCACTACGACCAGAAGGGTCAGCACCTGTTGTCCTGCTGCTGCTCTTGGACCATGAGGTAGGTTCAGGGGCTCCTCAGTAGTCTCCTCCTAGCAACATGTTGGAGGCTTATTTGCCTTTGTGTACGGCAGGCTCAATGTCACCCAGGAGACCTGTCTCAGAACCAGTCTCTGAACCCACCATCCGAGGGCTGGTGCCTGGGCCCTTGCTCCTTGCTGCTTTTTTCTGATCATCCCTAAGCTGTGATAATTCATTCCTGATGGTCCTAGCCATCTGCTAAATGTGAGCTCGCCAGTACATCACACCACAGACAGACTACTGCTGTGTGATTTTTCAGTGAACGTCAGACCAAGGTTCATCTGGAAAAAGCCCCTCTAGCAGCCCGCGCTGCTAAGTAACATTGCATCAAATCCGCGGTGCCTTTGTAGTTTTAAGCTCTTCCTGAGTGATTCCGGGTTCTTGATGTCAGCCCACTTTATATCTCCTTGCACGATACAAGGCACCCATCACCAGTCTTAGGCGCTTTCCATTTCCTCAGTCCAGCTCAGCCACAGACATGCAACTCATGACAGATGACAGATGGCTTTGGGAGCTTCTGCTAAGGCAGTATCTCTCTTTTGGTGTTTAAGCGATAGCTGAGTTCCTCCAGAGCATTATTTATTATACTCTTATTGTGCACAGACTCATTAGATGCAAAACATTCTGCCAGTCAACTTCATTCTGCTCCTTCACAGCTGTCATACTGACAGCCCGATGCCGATGACAGATGATGGTGATGGACAGGGGGACTGTAATCAATACAGCCTTAACAGATTTAAATCAGCATGCCACTCACCTACGGGAAATGCTGTAACGAAAAGTCTTCCCGTATTTCTGCTGTGTATGTGCAACAACTTGGTGCTATGTTCTTTTTTTCATAGGTCATATGCACACAGTCGTGAGGCACAACTTCGGCTCATGCCCCTGTATGTCTGCGCACAAAAACAAGTTAGCACGTAGGAGCTGATGAAAAAATGCCGGATGAGTGCCATTATCTGGTGAGCCGAAATGGGGTCTGTGTGGGCACGCAGCCCTGACTCCAAGACCCTGCAGAGAGAGGCGCAACACGCAGAGGCGGTGGCTGTACTCAGGAGAGCTTGGGGAGCGGAGAATCGCTGCTGCCTTCGGACGCCAACGGGGAAGCTGATGGAGCTGGCGGTTGCTTCCCAGGAAAGGAGGTTGCACTGGGAAAGGAGCTCATCCCCACTCCAAATCAGACATTAGGCAGAAACTGTTACTGCTGCTTGTCAGCGAGATTATTTTTCTCCAGTGGCAGACTTCTGCTGCTGCTTCCTGCACAAGAGAAGACTCTGTACTTTTCAGTTCCCTGGTGCACACCTGGCACACGAGCAAAACCCTCCCGCTCAGCTGCCTCTGCCGTGCCCATCTTGTTCTTAAAAAGCTGTGCTTTCATCTAGCAAGTACCAGGGACGCTGCTCCAGTGAGGACGCCAGGTCACAAGTTTCTACAGCATGACTTGCTTTAGAAATATTTGTAAGGTTTCGGGGTTTTTGGTTTTTTTTTAGCAAAACATAGATTGAATTTTCAAGGAAATGTTTGTTGCAGTATTAATTTTTTCAGTGCTTGTTTACGCAAGTAATTATAAGATAAGATGTTCATGTTTCATTTGCATTTGCTAGTGCTGCCGTCTTCCGTTTTTTTTAGCATTATCAGAAAAACAACTGATTGCCCATCAATACAAACAAAATGTTAATACTAAGCTGTCTTACTCTATACAAAATTCCAGGAGGAGAAGCACTACAATAGGAAACTTCAATCAGGGTACATTTTGTAAGGAACAGATAAAGGACAATCCTTAGCTGATACTACAGATGTGGTGCTAACACAAAGTTGCTGGGGAAATTTATTCAAGTCACAGATTTTATTAAGAGGAGTGACAACAGAAAATGGCTTAACAACAGCCAAGTGAGGCTAAGAATAATGAGAAATACAATATTGGGTTAATTTGTTCTACAGCAAATTAGCAAGGTAGCAAGGCTCCTCTCCCCTCCCCAAATAAGCGGCATTGACTCAATAAGCACTGCTGAGGTTTTGTTATTTTTGTTAATGATTCCCAGGCAGCTTTTTCATGTCCTCACTCCCGTCACTGCCCTCCTAATGAAGTTGGTGTATAGCGACGGGACACAGCAGAGCACAAAATCTTCCTCATGTTAATCCCATTTAATACCTGAAGGTTTAATTCCATTTGAACATCGTCAAACGGCTAACTTAATAGTATTTGCTTATGCAACAGGCAAAGCGACGGGACAGGACTTCTTTCCACTGCCTCTTGCGACCGTCACGCATCACACCAAGCAATTTTACGCTCGCTGCTTCTGACAACGTCCCCTCAGCTTCTGCTGCCCTCCTGGAGCACCCCTACGCTCCTTTTAAACAGCTACCAACAGCCCCCTCTCTCCTTCCTAAGGGGAAAAGGCCTGTTCCAGAGCCTCGCCCTTCAGTCCGATTTCCTTACTGTGGAGGCAGGCGCACTGAACAGAAAGCAGGCCCACAGCATTTGACAGATTTGACAGCCATGCCCCAAATCACTTTTGTCATGTGTCTTCTGCCTAAACCGTCCCACAGAAGTGGAATACCACTCCACATTGGCAAGCCGCTTTTTTTCCACAAGGTTTTTTGTTAATCGAAGTAAAGTTTTCACACAGAGCCTTGTCAGAGTAAGGAGGGTATGTAGTGCTGCCTCAGTTATCAGTCTGGTCTCAGGCTTTTCCCTTCTGCCTCTGCCTGCCTTTAGGCTGCCACCTTTGTGCCTAAGGAGCCCCCCTACAGATTTAGGGGCGAGGTGACACCGCGGGACCTTCACGACAGGCCAAGGACGAGCCCAGACCGCGGCGCTAGCACCAATCGCCTCAGGCCGCC